GCGCACGATCGTCGGACGCAGCTAATGTGCAGAGGAGCGAGGGAGGGAGTGATCGTTACGCGCAAGGAGTCGACATTAGCGTGTATATAGGAACGTATGGGGACGTCTGCTGGTTTGTGATGGTGTGGTCGGGAAGCGAAGGGGGGGGGTTAAGGTCACTCGAGACAGACCAACGAGGATTTTTTTTAGGAGTCTAACCCAAAAAGGAGTCCGAATATTCATAACCAATTAGACCTTAGCAGTGACATCTACAATGCCAAGATGTTACTCAAGCTTAGCCTTGGCGGCCATGTGGACAGTCACCAACTCCGTATTGGATAAATGTCAGAGTTGATTCGAACCTTAAAATCAGCCATATTACAATACTTATTTATATCTAAGTTCATCCTGGTTGATTCTCGGTCCCTTTACCTTCGTAAAATCTGTGACTCTTGGTGGTTTATTCGTGGACAATCTAAAATGCTCCTCCTTAATCAGTCGCGACTCGTCTCGTCCCTACGAGCACTATATCAAATCCGGCGCAGTCATGCCGGACCAACCAATCCTGGAGTTGCGGAAGAGCCGCTATCCAGTCGCTTGAGCGAAGTCGTTCGGCATACCTGGTATCTGGGATTCACGTCGTTCGGGGGACCGCCAGTTCATTTCCAGATCTTTCACGCGCGGTTCGTCGAGAAGGAAAAGTGGGTTGATGAACAGACGGTAGGTACTCTTTATCTGAATAGTATACTGTGGGACTAATCGGTGTAGTACCAAGAACTCTTCGCCATATGTCAAGGTCTCCCAGGACCAGGGTCAACAAAGATGTTGTTTTGCTTGGCTTTGCTCCACGCGGGGTTTATCCCGGCCTTGCTTGCATTTTTCTTCTGGTCGTATGTGTATACTTTTATGCAGCTCTTGTGATTTGAGGTAATGTACTTACTAATCCGCTAGTCTCCCCGGCGCAATCGGCATGTATGCACTCTCTCTTGGCGTGCAACGGATCGATGAAAAACTGCCCGCTCCAGTCTACGCTCTTCTCTCCGGCCTAAATGCCTCAACCGTAGGCATTATTGCTCTTGCTGCTGTCCAGCTAGCTGAAAAGGCCATCCGTGATAAAATTTCACGAATCCTTGTAATCTTTGGCGCATGTGCTGGCCTCTGTTATAGCGCACTTTGGTATTTCCCTATTCTTATGGTTTCTGGTGGTGTTGCTACTGTGCTGTGGGATGGGTTGGTGTATCAGCAAATTCTGAGAGCGAAGAGTGCGTGGAAAAATAGGAATCGGCAGCCCGAGCCGGAAGGTGATCCCCCGGTTTCCACGGGCTTGGGGGATACGGCTGCAAGGAATTCAGCTCAGGAGCCGGGAATGGAGATGCTGCGGATGAGAAAACCAGATACGGGGGCTTTGCCGCAACAACAAACTAATACCCAGGCTTCAGAAGGAAGGGAAGGGCTGTCACAGGACCATGTGATTCGTATCCGTGTTGGGAGTATGATTGTTGTTTTCTTCTTTGGTATGTCCCATTGTGGATTTGGAATGATGATGCACGTGAGCTAATCCAGAACCCGCAGTGTCCTTTACCGCCATACTTGTCTCCAGAGCCAAAGTTTCACTACCCCCTTTGGCCCTTGATCTCTTCGCAAATATGTACCTCGCCGGCACTGTGATATTTGGCGGTGGCCCAGTTGTCATCCCCTTACTCCGTTCCTACGTTGTTGACCCAGGCTGGGTCTCCAGTCGAGACTTCTTAATCGGCCTCGCTATCATCCAGGCGTTCCCTGGCCCAAACTTTAACTTTGCTGTTTTTCTTGGTGCACTCGCCCTTCGAACTACATCCTACCCGACAGTCTTTGGTGCATTCCTCGGTGGATTAGGGATATTCTTCCCTGGAATCGCTCTCGCTATCGCGATTCAGTCATTCTGGCGTGTTCTACGAAAGCAGAAGTATGTGATCGATTTCCTTCGCGGTGTGAATGCATCGGCTGTAGGATTAGTTTTTACGGCTGTGTACCGGCTTTGGGAAATAGGGTATTTGAGTCCCGGGGAACGTAATGGGCAAAGCCTGGCAAAGGAGCCCTGGTGGGTTGTTGTCGCCGCTGTTACTTATGCTGAGAGTGCGTGGTTTAAGGTTCCACCTGCAGCGGCTATTTTGCTAGGTGCTGTGCTTGGGTTGTGTTGGTACGGAGTCGTTGCTCCTGCCTGGTGATAAACGCGGATACTCTGGAATATGCTTGAATACTACTTGGGGAAAAAAATGCGAACAAAAGCTAAAGAGTCAGGCCCACATAGTGGTATCTCAACTGACTAGATTGGTTGGCGGAGGCTAAATGCAAAATACTGGGTACATATATAGATGAGCACCAACATAGCCCATCTCGCCTGAAGTCATTTATCAAACTTGCTAGTCAAAGAAATCTCGAAACGTCATCAAGGATTATAGGGGGTATTCTCTCGCATAATATATACCTCGCCTACTATCACTGTGCATCCAACTGCCATCGATATTCCAATAATAGGCAGATTTACCTTAGCAAATTCTAGATCCCGGATCTTGATATGCTTTTGTGCAAGGACGTTGCGCCATAATAGTCCTGCCAGTGAGGCGCTCAACGCGCAGCTGAACGCTCCGTAGTTGACCCCAAGCGCCATGCTATAGACGGTAGCCCAGAATGTGCGGTCGCTGATAGGTGTACCATTGGCGAGATGGATAGCCTGCCACGTCTGCACCATGCGGGAAAGAAGGATGGCAGTACCTATATTTGTACCAGCGAACTAAGACAGGTCAGCTGAGCAAATGACTGCGTATAGCTAATAGTCTCACATTGCAGAGTATAACGGATAGAAATCCCATTCCTCCAATCGCCCCCACCGTCCCGGTACGGGTTACCCAATGGTTCCAGCCATACGCGAAGACCTCAACCCACCCTTTCGCGACCAGAGCTTGCACGAGGACGAACATGGCAAAGGAAAAAGGAACAAGCGTAAAGGGCATACGCGATGCTACAGCCGTTGCTGTAGGAAAAGTCATCTGAAGCCATTGATAGCCGTTCATGGCTAGTGATTGAAGTGTGGCTTTCTCCGGTTCCTGTTCACCAGGGAGATCCTGCTGTTCTGACCATGGTCGCAGTCTTCCACTCGCCTGTGCGCCCCTAGGGCCACCCGGGTTCAATGGTAGGGGACTCAGGTTCGAGCGAACTGATTCCTGCTCCTCGTCGAGAGTGCTCACGTTACTCGGGAGCGACTGTTGGTGAGGTAGCTGGTTATTCATCGAGATGGTAGATGGCGCGCTTGGGGTCCCACGGTTTCTTCGGTCGAGAATGCCAGATGATGGAGTAACATGCGCCCCGGTCAACTGGGGCTTCCGTCTGTCTTCCGCTAATTCGCTACCCCCCACAACCCGGTCAGCGCGCATGCGCTCCACCTCTTCTTGGCGCCTGCGTGCAATCTCGTGTGTCTCATGGCGATGAAGCCATCCATTTGCTATATCCCAGCAGAATAGGACAAATGCAGCTGGCAAGGTCACCCAGAAAACAGGTTGCGCGTGACCCTGGTTTGCTGCATCAAGCGTCAAAACAGTGATGAGCGTCGCAGCCATGATGACTATACCAAAAGCTGCTCCACGTTTATCGAGAAAAGGGTTCAGGATTTCCTCGAGCGATAACAGCTTGCCGTCCTCGCTGCTTGCTGCCTCGTTCCCCTGCACTTTATCGATGCCTCCCCTTTTAGGGATGTTAGGGTTCACTGGGCTTTTGTTCTTCGCTTCCTCCGGCAGCTCGTGCATTTCGATTGATAGTGGGACCAACGATTCGTCTGCGAAGATAATGTATAGCAAAAAGGGGAACAGAACGATGGCAGTAATTACAACTGGGACAATCATGTTCGCCGTGTAATCGATAAATCTGATTTCAAAGGCGCTCGTGAGCACGAGATTCGTGGGATTGGAGGTGACCAGGATTGCGGAAGCGATGTTGGCGACCGCAAACTGGGCGTATATCCACGCTTGAGGATGCAAAATATTGCTGGACACACGGATCATGTAAGCAAGAAAGGTAGTGCCGGACAAAACAATCGGATCATTTCCGATGAAGCTTCCAAGAACAAAGAAGAATGCATAGAGATAGAAATAAAGTCTATGCCCAACCTTACCACCTTTTTGTAGTACTTTAAATGCCAAATAGCGAATACAGCCAGAGGCATCGATGGAGATAGCGATGTATGCAAGACTGAGAAAGAAGACCATAATATCGATAGGAGATATGTTGTCGGCTTTGATAGTCCCCTCGTACACCTCCTTGCGCCCAATCGCCGAAACCGCCAGGAGCAATAGGTCGGCAATCAAAGGTGCTGTCACAAAATTGAAGGGAAAGTATATGCGAACGAAACGGCCAGCATCCTGATCACGTTGACGCTCATTGATCACTCTCCAGGTACTGAGAGTGTCTAAAGCAGTATTGAGAAGGCATCGAGGAAGATAGAGGGGTATATGGAAGGGAAAGATGACGACAACATCTAAACAAGAGCAGCTTGTCAGGTACCGAGCAGGTACAGATCATAGGTACTTACTGGCGAGGACAAAAACAACAAGCGTAGTGATTGAACGCCAGTCTTTGATCTTGTTTGTGTCGAGTTCCTCGACCATCTTGCACTCTTCCTATATTACTTCGAATCAACTGAGACAGCCGGCGGATGTGCTGGAATGAGGCCCTATATAGTGTATCAGTTGCCGAGCCCTCGTGCTGTCAACCTACGGTGTTATTGGTTATTTTCAAGGCGATTGCGTGCAGCGCTTTGAGTACGAATCGCTTCGAAATTCGGCAGCTATGCTTCCAAGGCGTCTCAATCATGTTGGTAATCTTTGTGCTCGTATTCTGAGAACCAACTCGAACACACACGCATCCTGCTCAAATGGCGATTTCTGGCCGATGATGGCCGGACCGATCCTCACCCTCCAGAGCTTTTCCAAACTAGGCACGTCTTTTACGAAAGGTAAATATAAGACCTCTTTGAAGGCTCGAGAGTACTTGAGTAGATAAACTGTCCACCATCTTTCTCAGTGTAACAGGTATTGTGAGAGATTGGTTTCGCCCGCCTCGCTGGGCAGCAAAAATCGTCCGTGGGTAAGTCGGTCTCTTCTGGAGGCGAGGAGACCATGCCTTTCAAGCGGCTGACTTCTCTTCTGGTTGACTTTCTCTCGAGTGCTAGAGGATGTGAATGCTTGCGCAAACGCTGCAGTGATGGTTGAGAATAGTGAGGTTTCCCTGCATCACATGGTACAGTTGGCAGTGCCCCACCGGAAACACGCTAGTCTTGGCGAACATAGACACATCTGCTCTTTTTCCCTTCGCAAATCTCGTCCGAAATGGCGTCCCCAGGCAGCAGTCATTTGAGGAGTGCGGCGGAGAACCCCTCTCTTCGGTTGCTTGCGAAAGTTTACCGTTATTTTCGGCCTGTCGTAAAGATTTCTAGGATTTTTTGGCGCTAGTGGAGAACGTTCATCTACAAAAGCCAACAGTGAAATGTAGCAGATAAGAGGAGCTTTCCAAAGTTTCTGGTGGGCACTGAGGAAGAGAAACTATAAAATCTACTTTGAGAAGTGTGAATAGCCCTGTGTTGGGACTGATTTTCGCAACCGTATACCGACTGGGGGATATTCGGTTTCTGACCCCTGAAAGAAGTTTCTGCGAGAGTTTAGCAAGAGTTATGGTGGGTAGCTATTGCAGCGCTGATTTACTTAAAGAGGGCATGATTCCAAGTGCCGCCAGCTCTAAGACTTTCTGGTAAACGTCATGTCAAATACCAAGAAAGTTCATTGTTCACAACGCAATCTGCTACTATTCCTCTAAAACTATATCTACCCTGACTACCCTATCTATCCCCCAGAACACAAATCCAACCGCTCCCTCCCGATCCATTAACAAGGCTAACCTCATCCCTCCATCTAACCC